AAAAAAACTCACCTGCCTATAGCCTTAGTAATCCTGAAGACATTGATTAGCTTGTTCAGGTGTGTTTGATTAGGGTTGGAGCTGAACTCTGCAGGACTGCGGCTCTCTAGGACCGAACTTGCCAACGCCTGGCCTAGCCCATAACAGGTAAGTTATTTTGGGCATATAGCTCAGGCCTTTGGCTGAAGGGTATATGGTCACTGACACCTGCTGAGGCGTCCAAGGTGCAACTCCCATGTCTATGGTAGAGTTAGTTCTAAGTGCTCGCATTGATGCTTGGCATGCACACCCCTCAGCATGGCAGCGTGGGTATTACATTCCCCATAGTGACCGCTAGAGGATGCAGTTCAAGTTCCCTCAGAAAGGAATGTCTCAGGTTACCTGGCCTAGCCCATAACAGGTAAGTTATTTTGGGCATATAGCTCAGGCCTTTGGCTGAAGGGTATATGGTCACTGACAGCCGCTGAGGCGTCCAAGGTGCAACTCCCATGGCTATGGTAGAGTTAGTTCTAAGTGCTCGCATTGATGCTTGGCATGCACACCCCTCAGCATGGCAGTGTGGGTATTACATTCCCCATAGTGACCGCTAGAGGATGCAGTTCGAGTTCCCTCAGAAAGGAATGTCTCAGGTTACGTAGGGTGACCATACGTGCCATTTTCCCAGGACGCGTCCTGGGAAAATGGCACGTATGGTCACCCTAAGGTTACGCATGTAACCATGGTTCCCTGAGAAGGGAACAAGACACTGTGTCCTCTTTCTTGCCATGCTTCGGACGCAAGCTTCAGATGAAGAAGCGGATGATGTGTTCTATCGGCATCCTTTTATACTGTGGTCGCACCGACAGTGACGTCATAGGCTGTCGCCGGGCCAATGTTATTGTTGTGTTTAGATGTTTGCTTCAGACACAGGTCATGCCGAAGACGTTCCCCATAGGGATTGCTAGAGGACGCAGTGTCTCGTTACCTTCTCAGGGAACCGTGGTTACATGCGTAACCTGAGACGGTTTCCCAGTGTGTGTTCTGCCCCTGTCTGCTCTGTGCCTTGTTTGTCCCAATAGTTACCACCCATTAGTTGCCATAGCTACTCATTAGACCACACCCACTCCTTGTTAGTTCCCACAGCAACTCATTGGTTCCTTTTGTTCTCCTCTGTATAAGTAGCCCTTGTGTTTCTCTTGTGCCTTGTCAGTTGTTGAATATAATGTTGTCCTTTTGCACGTGGTTTTGTTTCCTGTTCTTTGTTGTTTGTTTCCTTGTTTTGCCATTAAAGACCCTGCACATTACACTGATAAAAACATCACAGTAATCCATACCACTCCAGTCCATCAATTAATGACTTGTGAAGCGAAAAACTCAGCTGCATGTTTATAAGAAACAAATCCATTATTAAGACGTTTTTTAATTCAAACTGTTGCTTCTGGCTAAATACCAGTCCTCTATCCAAAATACTGCTTAATTCTCACATTTTTATGGCATCCATTCAATGCAGAGGATCCAATGGTGAGCAAGTGATGTAATGCTACATTTCTCCTAATCTGTCCCGATGCTATTTCAGTTTACATCCAATGTTACAATACATTAGATAGAGTTTTTTCATTTCCTCTCATATTTTGTGTTTTTATTTAGAATCCATTAATAATGATTGAATTGGGCAATCAGATTCCAGTGGGTGAAATCACATGTGCCTCATACGCTACAGATTACATCTGAACAGATGGAGAGAGAGCAAGATGCACGGGGTATGCTTGGAATCAAAATTGTTAATGTAGTTACAGAGAGAGGGATACACTCTCGCTCTCTGTCTGTTGTTCTCTGACTTTCTCTTTATCTGTCTGATTACATTGTATCACTCACATGAGCCTAGTTACGCTCTTAAAAATAAAGGTGCTTCAAAAGGTTCTTCAAGCGATGCCATAGAAGAACCATTTTTGGGTCCACAAAGAACCATTCAGTCAAAGGTTCTTTAAAGAACCATCTCTTTCTTACCTTTTTGTAATCTGAAGAACCTTCTTTCGCCACAAAGAACCTTTTGTGAAACAGAAAGGTTCTTCAGATGGTAAAGGTTCTTTATGGAACCATTTAGACAAAAAGGTTCTTCTATGGCATCGTGAAGCACCTTTATTTTTAAGAGTGTAGATGTGACCGGGAATGCATTTTTCCACATTTTTCCATGTCCTCTTGGGACAAAAGGTGTTCATGTGTCTGAAAGCTATCTTGACTCTGGTGTGCATTGTCAGACTGATGGTATGTGAGAGAGCAATGCTGAAAATGGAAATATTATTGTCTAGAGCTGAATGTTCTCGTAGAAATGATCACGTTTACAGGATTGAGTCTGCTCCTGAAATCAAAATGCTGCATTTCAGATTCAATTAGTTCTGTTTTTCTTGGGTGATCAATTTTGTTTGGGGATACACATATTACAATTCTTGTTGATACAGTATGCTGATAATTATTTTCTTGTTATGACCAATAACCAGACAGTATTTGTCTAAATAAATGAAAAATAAAATACTAAAAAATAAATAAATAAAATAATTTATTTTAACTGCTACAAGTTAATTTAGGCATCACACTATTATAATGTATAAAATGGATATTGCGATTTTTGAGATTTACTAAAGATTACATTTAACAAAAAAATATCCAATACTGACTAATTCTTACAAAACCTCATACTGACTTTTTGTTGTTATTTATTTTTATACTTAAATGTCCTTAAAAGTGCTGAATAGTAGGTTTTTTCACTGCCTGATGAATAAGCTCCTTTATTGCACGGCTCTTTGGAATACTTGGTTCTTATTGGTCAATCACTGCATTCGGCTTACAAATATTTTTCTGTAATGACTGTAAAAATGTATTGACCGCTGTGCCAGGCAACTGATTTCCATTTCCATGTTAATTTCACATATCTTGTATCACGCTCTGGTCTTTCTCTTGTGACATAAAATAATTGTATTTCTTTTTTAAAAAGTTTTGATTTGAGTTTTTCTAAAACTCAAATCAATATTCCAAGTGCATTTATTTACTTGTTTATTTATTTGGTAAGTAGCCAAATAACTGTATATTATATAAAATAATGTGAATGCTGTGTGTGTGTTTTTTTTCTTACAGATCCTGTTTCTAAAAGTAAAGAATGTGTGGGAAACAAAGTGCTGTATCAGTGTTTGGTTTTGGTCAAGGACAATTCATACACTGCCAGAGCATGCCAGTGAGAAGTTGGGTCAACCACTGTGTGAAATGTATTTCTCTTAATAATAGTAATGTCAAGAGAAAAGAAGTTGCATTATACCTTTGAAATGTTTTTACAAGCCTTTGGATCTGCATCTAAAAGTGGAAAATTGCTTGCAATCAGACGAATCTTGTGAGGTCCCCAAATTAAATGTTTCTGGTCCTGTGCTTTAGATTTGGGTTGGAGTCTGTACCCCTGGTAATGGGCTTCACATGTTACGGATCCTGTGGCAGAACTCGAGCCTGACCCATTGGCAGATCTCATACTGCATATATTTACATTTAAACATTTAGCAGACATTTTTATCCAAAGCAACCTACAAATGGGGACAATAGAAGCAATCAAAATCAACAAAAGAGCAATGATATGCAAGTGCAATAACAAGTCTCAGTTAGCTTAATGCAGTACACGTAGCAAACATATATAATAAATAAAAAGAAAACAGATAGAATAGAAAAAGAATAAAGCAAGCTAGTTCTATAGGCCTTTTTTGCTTTTTTGAATTGTATAATAAATAAAAAGAAAACAAATAAATAGAATACAAAAAGATTAGAGAAGCTAGTGTTAGTTTTTTTTTTTACTGGATCTATACACACTTTGTGACCTGCATTATGTCGGCCTGATTTTACATGTACATTTTGCAAACTTTTACTGAAAATTAAGAATACTGATCATCTATTTCAGCATACATTAGTGTAACGGGGCTGACAAGATGTGAGACATGTGGATCCATCTGCAGGCTTTATTTAAGAGACGTGGTAAACAGGCAGGGTCAAAACACTGGCAAACAGGTATATGGCGGGCAAAACACAAGAATAGTCACAGGGCTAGCGTAGGTCACCAATAAGCAGACAGAATCACAGGGGCGAGACAAGAGGGAGAAATCCGAGAAAACAGGCAAGGCAAGGCAAGGCAAAACAAGGAAAACACGGAGACTCGGAAAGGGGTACAGGCTAAACAATACTCAGCAGAGAAATGTGGTTAGAGTGGGTGTTATATAGTGAATGAGGTAATGAGGAACAGCTGTGTGCAATGAGTGCAGTCAGGGCAGTGTGCAAATTGTGCAAAGAATGATGGGAAATGTAGTCCGGGGTGCTATGCAACAGTTTGTGTAGTGCGAGAGTCAATGTAAAGGAAAGGGTGACATCTGGTGGTGAATAAACGGAAGTCCATGAACCGAATTCGTGACAATTAGAAAATACCTACAACTAGGAAACAAAGGCAGTATAGTAGAAAATTAATGTGTCTAATTTATCTATTGTCAGATGTTGTTCTTTTTATTTTTATTAATTTCTGCTTTCTTCTCAATTGATCATTTCTGGTTATTATGATTGTCAAAAAAAATCCCTTTGTGATGCACTTAAACTTTGAATTTGTAATGTATCCAGATGTGGTTTAAAAGCTTACATCCCCCAAATCTGATTAAAAGTGTAGCTTGCCTCTGATATTTAAACTCAGACACACCTACAAATTACAAGACATTTCATTTGGCATGACTAAACTATAATACTAAGTTATAACCAATCAGAGCATTTGTGTGTGTTAGTGAGGTCAGGCATTAGCTTTACTTAAATTGAGAGAGCTACTCTCTCATTCACACACCAGGATCACTCTTCGGTTTGGAACTTTCTTCAAGACGAACACACAAGACCAACATACATAGTAAAGATCAAATCTGGTAAGTTTTCTTTCCATTTTAGGATTGTGTATATGAAGGAAAATATCATACATAGGTATACTTTTTGTCAAAAATGTAAAAGTGTAGCTCTGTTTAATTCTGGGTATTGTATGTCATTTCACAGTATAAAACATGATTCTGGTCAAGCAAAGGGATATTTGCCATTTTTAATCAATAATGTCAATATAATACTTTGTATTAGTCACAATAGACCTAATATGGGCTATTTAAAAAACTGTTATGGTACAGACCACAATGTGCAGCAAATTAATTGCATGTTTTATTTAAGTTTAATTGATGTTTTAAATTTCACAATTCCTTATAATAAATATAGAGCCAGTTTAATAAAACTAAAACTAAAAGTTTAATTGTTTTCTCATTACCAGCCATGAGGACTATCAGAGAACGGCAGACTGGCTGCTGTCCCAGACACAACACAGACCTAAAGTAGCCATCATCTGCGGTTCTGGACTGGGAATGCTTGCGGATGCGCTCAAATGCCAAGACTTGTTCAAATACTCGGACATCCCTGGCTTTCCTCAAAGCACAGGCAAGATGCAGCTCAGAGCATGTAACAATGTATTTGCATCAGTGTTTTTGTCCATTTGCAGAAATAAAGTACTAGCTAAAAAAAATTATATTATGCTAGCATGTTACACTGTTAAACTTTTTTAACCTGCAGAAATCGAGAATTTTGGTTTAAATGGTGCCTTAAATTTTAAAGTGCCAAGATTACAACCAGCAGATTCATTGCACTTTTTTGACCATTTTTGATTAAATCAGAGAGAAAAGAAAGTCAAGTTGCAACTTGAATAATGTTGACAGTATTGTGATGTTAAATGGATTAAAACAAAATCTATTATGTTGTATGTGATAATGTGTCTTGACTAAGTGTTTGTATATTCAAACAGTGAAGGGTCATGCTGGAAGGCTGGTTTTTGGAGAGCTCAAAGGGAAGACCTGTGTGTGCATGCAGGGCCGATTTCACATGTATGAGGGACACTCGCTAAGCAAGGTTTGATCTTTTCATGCCATCCTTCTTTTCCATAAATTATTGTTCAAACATTTGGTGTTATATTGTTTTGGAAAAAGTCTCTTATGCTCACCAAGGCTGTGTTTATTTGATAAAAAATACAGTACAAACAGTCATATTGTAAAATATATCTCTAATAAATAACTGTTTTCTATTTTAATATATTTTTTCATTTATTTCTGTTATTACTTTAATCTTCAGTGTCACATGAGCCTTCAGAAATTATTCTAATATGTTGATTTGATGCTCAAGAAATACTTCTTATTGTTATCAATGCTAAAAACAGTAATGCTGCTTAATATTTTTTGGGAAACAGCATTTATTTCAAATAGAAATATTTTGTAACTTTATATATGTCTTTACTATCACCTTTAATCAATTGAATGCATCCTTGCTTAATAAAAGTACTATATTAATTTCTTTCAAAAGAAAATCTTACTGACTGATTTTTTCACTTCAGTTCACCTTGGTAAGTATGTATATTTCTTGAGCTAACACGGTTTAACACAGTCCCATCAGGCTTTATTTGCTTAATGACTCAGGTTAATACAAAATCTGTCTATCTTGACAGTTTCATCATGTGTCACAAATAGAATTATATTATATAACAGAATTATATTGCATTCCAAAAGTATCCCCAAAACACTGTTCTATACATGCTGTGTCATGCTGCAATCTAAAATGATGATAGAATAAGGAGATTCCTTATTCTTTTTGGATATTCACTCCACTCCATCCTGGTCATGCTGATTTGAGTCACATGCTGTATATCAGAGCACAATGTACCATTCAGTGAACATTTTGTGTGGTTAGACAGTTAGATTAAAAAGGCTTATTGGTAGCATGCCTGTACAGTGCACTCACAAGCTCTTGAAGGTTTATTACAAAGGCACTGGATGTTGAAAATGGATTAACAGTTACCAGAATTTGTGCTTGTTTTCCTCAGGTAAATTTTTCCAGTAAGAGTGTTCAAGCTTCTGGGTGTCGAAACCTTGATTGTCACTAATGCAGCAGGGTCATTAGCAGACAGTTATAGTTGTGGTGATATTATGATCATACGTGACCACATTAACTTCCCTGGACTTGCTGGACTGAACCCTCTAAATGGCCCTAATGATGATAAGTGAGTATCAGTGTACATGTTGAAGTGAGTTTAAAAAGCGTTCATTCATTAGAATCACCAGTAAAAGGAATGTAATCATTTATTGGTCGCTGTCAAGGTTTGGTCCTCGATTTCCGCCCATGTCTGGGGTCTATGACAAAAACCTACGGAAGATGGCGTTCGACATCTGTAAGAGCATGGGTGTCTCCCAGTGTGTTCAAGAGGGTGTCTACTGCATGGTGGGAGGACCCAACTTTGAGAGCATAGCTGAGGCCCGCCTTTTGCACCGACTGGGAGTGGATGCAGTTGGTAAGCTGATGACTCGTTTCGTAAAATCAATACAATTCATATCCAATCCAAATCTTTAAATTGCTTAAACAATGAATGGGCATTTAAGCTTTTAAAAAAATCCAGCTTAGACTGTAACTTTGACTGATGATGTAACTTAGCAACACTTTCATTAAGATATAGTTCACCCCCCAAATTTTTTTTATTTTTATCATATACTCAAGTTGTTCCAAACCTGTATGAGTTTCTTACTTCTGTTGAACACAAAAGAAGATATTTTGACGAATGTTGAAAACCAATCAGTTGCTGGTGGCCATTGACTTCCATTGCATGGAAAAAAAATTATAATGTTGAAATCAATGGCTTCCATATTTCATATAGAGATTGGATGACGATTATATTTAACTGCATTATTAAACTATTAGTGTTTTATTAAATGTAAAAATGGAGGAAATTAGCATGCACAATTAAATATTCAATACCGATCAATACCAATAAATTAATCTAATATTGACTTAAAACCAATATATCATGCATACCTAATTTTTGTTTTTATTTTTTATGTTTAAATGTACCTAAAATGAATTTTAGTTTTTTTTTTCTCTGCCTTATGAATAAGCTCCTTTATTGCACAGCTCTCTGGAATACTTGGTTCTGATTGGTCAGTCACTGTATTCCGCAGACAAATTTGTGACCATGGACCACAAAACCAGTCTTAAGTCGCTGGGGTATATTTGTAGCAATAGCCAAAAATACATTGTATGGGTCAAAATGATTGATTTTTCTTTTATGCCAAAAATCATTAAGATATTAAGTAAAGATCGTGTTCCGTGAAGATATTTTGTAAATTTCCTACTTTAAATATATCAAAACTTAATTTTTGATTAGTAATATGCATTGCTAAGAACTTCATTTGGACAACTTTAAAGGCGATTTTCTCAATATTTAGATTTTTTTGCACCCTCAGATTCCAGATTTTCAAATAGTTGTATCTGATGGCGTTCGACATCTGTAAGAGCATGGGTGTCTCCCAGTGTGTTCAAGAGGGTGTCTACTGCATGGTGGGAGGACCCAACTTTGAGAGCATAGCTGAGGCCCGCCTTTTGCACCGACTGGGAGTGGATGCAGTTGGTAAGCTGATGACTCGTTTCGTAAAATCAATACAATTCATATCCAATCCAAATCTTTAAATTGCTTAAACAATGAATGGGCATTTAAGCTTTTAAAAAAATCCAGCTTAGACTGTAACTTTGACTGATGATGTAACTTAGCAACACTTTCATTAAGATATAGTTCACCCCCCAAATTTTTTTTATTTTTATCATATACTCAAGTTGTTCCAAACCTGTATGAGTTTCTTACTTCTGTTGAACACAAAAGAAGATATTTTGACGAATGTTGAAAACCAATCAGTTGCTGGTGGCCATTGACTTCCATTGCATGGAAAAAAAATTATAATGTTGAAATCAATGGCTTCCATATTTCATATAGAGATTGGATGACGATTATATTTAACTGCATTATTAAACTATTAGTGTTTTATTAAATGTAAAAATGGAGGAAATTAGCATGCACAATTAAATATTCAATACCGATCAATACCAATAAATTAATCTAATATTGACTTAAAACCAATATATCATGCATACCTAATTTTTGTTTTTATTTTTTATGTTTAAATGTACCTAAAATGAATTTTAGTTTTTTTTTTCTCTGCCTTATGAATAAGCTCCTTTATTGCACAGCTCTCTGGAATACTTGGTTCTGATTGGTCAGTCACTGTATTCCGCAGACAAATTTGTGACCATGGACCACAAAACCAGTCTTAAGTCGCTGGGGTATATTTGTAGCAATAGCCAAAAATACATTGTATGGGTCAAAATGATTGATTTTTCTTTTATGCCAAAAATCATTAAGATATTAAGTAAAGATCGTGTTCCGTGAAGATATTTTGTAAATTTCCTACTTTAAATATATCAAAACTTAATTTTTGATTAGTAATATGCATTGCTAAGAACTTCATTTGGACAACTTTAAAGGCGATTTTCTCAATATTTAGATTTTTTTGCACCCTCAGATTCCAGATTTTCAAATAGTTGTATCTCGGCCAAATATTGTCCTATCCTAACAAACCATACATCAATGGTGATGATGTATAAATCTCAAAATAATTGACCCTTATGACTGGTTTTGTGGTCCAGGGTCACATATTTGTCTGTCATAAGCGTTAAGCTGTATATTTGCCACTGTGCCAGGCTACTGATTTCCTGCACAGCTGTGTTAGTTTCACATATCTTGTATCATGCTGTGACATTATAGATTTTTATCATATTCATAATAGATGTAATATATTATATTAATATATTATAACATATTAATTTCTTAAACTTAAATCAATATTCCAAGTGCATTTATATTTGTAGTTGGTAAGCAGTCATATAAAAAGCTAGTTGGCCATTATGGCCAAATTGCTAGGTTGATACACAACTGTGTATTGTATAGAAATTGTAAGTCATATTGTTATATTGTCATAATTATGCATTTTAATTTTAATTTATGTCTAATTTGCCTTTAAAGGAATGAGTACTGCACCAGAAGTGTTGGTTGCCAGTCATTGTGGCATGAGAGTCTTTGGTCTCTCCCTCATCACTAACAAAGTAGTGAAAAGCTATGAGGACAATGCGTCTGTCAGTCATGAAGCTGTGCTGGAAGTGAGCAAAATGCGTTCAGAGACGCTGCAGGTGCTCGTCACAGAGCTCATCAGCCGGATGGACATCAACAACAACACGGCATGATGTCATTAACACCGGAACTGCCAATCAAAACCTCATTCAGGAAAATCTGCAGCTATACTATGATCATGTTTTTCATTTCTGTATACCTTTGAATGTAATTACAGAACATCTGTTTCAATAGCACATTTATTTGAGATATTTAAATGTTAAGATTTGACTATTTGCAGTGATCACAAAAATGATCTTGTTTGATGGTGCCATAACAACAAACTTAAAACACTAGGTTATTCCATATGTTATTTATTAAATGTTTATCTTTTTTTGTGCTGCAAAGGTTGTATATGCATCTGTATATTGATGATTGCATAATATTAAGTGCACCTTTATGTGGGGAATTATGCAGTAAAAAAATGTATGCACTGCTATTCATTATGCAAAGTAATATAGTTTCTAATGTCAGTATTTTGATGATAAAGTTGGATATTTAAATCATTGCCATGCTATTTATAATAAATTTTATATTTACTGTGTGCATTGTAAATGTGCCACTGAATATGGGCCTTCTTGTATAACCTTCTCTTCTATAAACAATCATCTTATCTATAATCCAGAAATGTCAGCAATAAAAGTGTATTTTGAAAATATATTTTACAATCATTTGATCATTTACATTACAACATCATAAAAAAATTTAATTATACAGTACAACCCCCATTAATTACACTAATTAATTTCCCATTAAATAAGGGGGGGGGGAACAGTAGTGTATTTTATGGATTTATGGCAATGCAGCAATAACAAAAGTGTATTTTGACAAGAATTGGGAAATTTCACAATTCTTAATTAACTAATTTTGCTACAATCACATAAAATATGTACTGATTTCTATAAGTTCATATAAATAGTGACATAATCTTTCCTGCTAGGCTACATAATGAAAACGCAACAGGAATTGAATTCAAGAAAACAACGCAATTTTGCGCATGCTTAGTATGTCCACTAGATGGCAGCAGAAGCACGTTGCAGTCGCGTGTATCTCCGGTTGCTATGACAAACTTGTGAAATGCTGGAATAGTTTAAGAACTCTCGGTAAATTTGATATCGACGGGTCTGAAGAAAAAAACTATAATATGGCAGGTCAAAATTTGCTTAACTTGAATTCTGTGGTATGACTGACTGTTTATGGTTATGTATTTCTAATGTTTATATAATGGCATTTTGTGACAGATAATGAAAATATTTGCAGTACACACCCCATTTATTCTTCCATGTATGAGTATTGCTTTCTGTAAAGTTAGACAGCTGCAGCTGCAACAAATTTTTTTTTAAGGATTACAGCAAATGGAAGCGAAGTACACGGTCTAACCCTCTGCTCTGGGCAACTTCTCATCATAAAGCCGTCATATCATCTAACAAAGGAGAAACCAGACCATCTCCGACTGGAAAATCAGGTATAAACATGGCTAAGTTAGGATCAAAGTACAGTAATGCTTCTACAGTTGTGAGATATGTCTGTCTTTATGTATTATTTTGTAATATCTGCTTTATGAACAGGAACATCTCACTCTCATGTCCACAATGATTTCACAACACTCCCCAAACTCCCTACAAGAAGGACAACTGAAACAGTGGAACAGGACCAGATCACCACAAAGACTAAATACAGTATCAAAGAACTGATTGTGTGTGCTATAAAGTAGGAAAGTAGAATTTAATAGTTCACTTGTGATTAGTATACAGTACACCATGTTGACAGCTGCAATCTGTTGTAGTTACTCATCAAATCCAGGAAAGAAGCAATAAAAGACCTGGAGGAGCTCTGTGAACAGCTTCAAGAGAGGAACCTGCAGACGGCCAGAAGCATTATGGATACAGACAGAAGCTCATTTGCCAGAGCCAACAAACTGCTTATCCAGACAGCGCAAAAGATGGTGAGCTACGTTTTTAGTTCCCATTGTACACAAAGAGCACTGAACTCAAACATTTTGTTTGAATTGTGCAAGTATTAAATATGGTTAACCAGTAAAACATGATCTCTTATGTTCTTTCTAGAGATCAGCAGTAGCTTTGAAACAGTGGAATGACAGTCTTATTAAAAGTGACAAAGCAGAGCTGAGAGATATAAAGGAGGCATTACAGACACATATGAGTGGTTAGTTTATACTTCATCAGTTATGCTTTAACTGTTTAACTGCTCATCATTTAAAATGCAATATGTACTGTACACTACATAGCCAAAGGTATGTTTTAAGCTTTTTGTGTGTGTGTGTATGTTTTTTTTTTTTATGTATTGTTTTGGCTATTTCAGCTACACCACACTACAAAAAATTGGGGTTGGTAAGATTGTTTAATGTTTTTGAAAGAAGTCTCTTATGCCCACCGAGGCATTTGAACTGTTTTCTATTTGAATATATTTTAAAATGTAATTTATTTTTGTGGTGGCAAAGCTGAATTTTTAGCTGTCATTACTCCAGTCTTCAGTGTTACATGATTACATGATTTAATATGCTGATTTGGTGCTCAAGAAACACTGAAAAAGAAAGTTGAAAGCAGTTTATGCTTAATATTTTTGTGGAAGCCATGATTTATTTTTTTTAATAAATAGAACAGCATTTATATTAAGAATATTCTTTGGAAGTGTAATCTTTACTTTGTTGTCTTTACTTTCATTTTCGATCATTGTAATGCATCCTTGCTGAATAAAAGTATTTTATTATTATTTTTTATTATTTTACTGATCCCAACCTTTTGAACAGTAGAGTTCACATCCATTACAAGCAGGTGCATAAAATCAAGCATACAAAAGCATTTAATGTACAATGAGGCGCTCTTCTGTTCCAGCCTCTGTGCACACAGAGAGGTCCACGTGTTTGGGTATCCACATACTTTTGGCCATATAGTGTTGCTTCTGCGATGGTTGTTAATGGTAAAGCAAAAACAAACAACCCCAAACTGCATAACAAATTTCAGCTGACTTCATCTTATAAATGTAGGTTTGCAGAAGCAGTTGGATCTGCTGAAAGCGAAGGTGGTAGAGGCTCAGAAAGAGCTTCGCAGCCTGAAGACATACAAAGATATGGAGTTCCCAGTAAAGGCCTTGCAGAGCGCAGATATGGAAAGAAAGCTGGACAGACTGAAAGACATGCATCAGGTAAAATATGAGCAGGACTCACTGCAGGATGACCAAAAGCTGACATTTTGGCCAACTGAAAAAAAGTAATCAAAATTATATTCAGGAAAATCCTTTATTTAATGATTTAAAAACGCATGTGGTTCTAGCTCCCATAAGAACTCTTCAGTGTTTTATTAAGTTGTAACACATTTTCCCTTTTATAATTGTCAGAAAGAGCGAGAAGATTTGAACCTGTTGTTTAAGAAAGAAATGGTCAATTTGGAGAGACGCCAACACCAAAGAGAACAGGAAGTGCTGTCTGCTGTAGTTGAGGTAAAGAAGCTCTTCTGTGTCAGTTTTTAGATTTATTTATGGAGGTAAATGGAGGTAATTTGTGACTTTAGAAGCTTTATAAAAAAAGATGCATGTGGTTTGGTTTTCAGAAACATGCTTCCCACATCCCTCCCATTGTCAAACTGACGGCCTCACAGAATGACACAATAAGAGAAGAGATTCATCAGCGGAGAAAGGTAATTCAAGTATGTTCATATAGAAATTTATTTACATTGTTAATTTACCATATTTTTTTAAGGTGGTAATGGAGATGGAGAGAAAGAATGAAGAGCTAAGGAAGAGTATTCAGGAACTGCAACTGTCAAGACCAAAAAACATCAGGAGAGAGATCTTTCCAGATGTTTTCATGAAATCAGACAAGTAAGTAGATGAGGACATTGAGTTATTGAGGCAAAAATCTTCTTTATCACAAACAGCTCTTATGTCCTCAATTAACACAAGAACATTGCCAAGCTCTTCAACTGAAGCATTCCCAAGTTATACAATAATTGCAGTTGCAGAGAAACATTCTCACAAAATTGGGCACTTGAAAGGAAGTTCAACAAACCCCTCGAAATGTCTAACAGTGTTAGTATGACCCGACCCCTCCCATAAACAGATATAGAACAGCAACACTTAGAGAACTTCACTTTCAAGAACCTTCTCAAGCATACTGACAGCACACAGCCCGTGATAGTTTAACATCCACTATGGGTAAGAAGCTAATATCATGCATTGAGAAACAATTTAAAGTTCACCCCAAAATAAAAATTCTGGCATAATTTAGTCATCATAATTTTTTTCCTATGCAGAATGCAAAAGAAGAAATTCTAAAGGATGTTGCAACTGTTTTTGTCCATATAATGAAAGACAATGGGGTCCAAAACCCAATTTGAAGAAATTTGAAGAAAATCATGGTGTGTTTCCTAAAAGCATCATTAGCCAATTATGCTTGCAAGTTTCATCAATTTAGTGTTTCCCAAAACCATAGTTCAAACTGACATTCATGAATAACACCCAAAACTTGTGTAGTTGGAAATACAGCTTTTGACCTGTGGTTAGAAGCATTGTTTCTTCTTAGTATGACATGTGGACGTATACATGCACAAGAGCAAAATAAGCATCCTAACGTGCAGTGCATTTTATATCATTAATGCCATATGAATATATAAGTTTTAATCTATATATTTTAGCATGTCAACAATCAACAGCAATTTTTAAGAGTGCGCATGAAAGGGAACCGCGTGGGAAAGAGTATGATGCAAGAGGGAACCCATAATGAAGCAAACATCAAATAAAGCAAGATCACATGGTACAAAAAATAGTAGTCATCAGGTGCCTTGTTCGTTAGAGTAGCATCTCGTAGATCTCGAATTGATGAATTAGCAGAAGTTATTACTCCACCACCTGCGTGTGACGTCATTAATGACAGTCCTACGTTGTTGAACCAACATGGTTCAAACAGTGGATGTGCGACTGTTACCGTGATTTTTTTTTCTCCAACGATGCACATTACTATGCTAGTTAATCAGCAAGTTACATCATTGTACAGGAAACACACCCCAGGTTTAGAATGACATGAGAGTGAGTAAAAGATGACTGAATTTTCATTTTTGGGTGAAAGATAATGCAGACTTGTATGATGAGTAACACGTTCACCCAATGAGCTTTTTTGGAGATTGGAGTGGAGCACTGCAATCGGGGAAAAAGTACCCTATCGACTTTCAAACAAAAGCTGGGTTTGGAAAAAGTATTGGGCTGTTGGAGATGGTGTTAGATTACACAGTTTTGGAAAAGACTCCAAAGGCCATCTTAAAGATAAACGAAGAACAAGAGAATGCTGTGCATTCATGGAATCCCTGGCGCCCATTAAAGGTTAATGAAGGTTTCACATTTCCCAACAGTCTGTTCCAAAACAGCATGTCATTTTCCTCTCCATGACAATCGGTCATATCTCCAGAACAATCTGACACTTTATTCCAAGGTCCTGCGAGTGCAAGCACAACCTCTTGCCACCCATGGGAGCTGTTATATCACAGATAAGATTTATTCATATGAACTTTCATTCCTTAAGTGTTTTGGCCTAGGGGACAAAGGACGTGGAAAACAAGCAAAAAAATTCACTGTGTTCACATACTGTATCATGTCACACTGAGCACCAAATTATAAAGGTTTTCATTAAATGGAGATAATGATAAACAGATCTGGGATTTCCTGCTCCGCTCGTGACAGAGACATGGCTTTAGTATCCGCAGATGTACTGAGCCCCAGCAAAGAAACTTCTCATGTTTCCTGTCTTAAACAAACTGTCTCAGGCTGTGGTGACCATGCTTAAAGGCAAATGTCCCATAAGCAGTCCTCCTGATTTACATGATCTTTGCACCCAAAAATTAAGATTCTGTCATCATTTGTCATTACAGACTTGTATGAATTTCTTCTGTGGAACACTATAAAGTTTTTTTTTTTGTCCATACAATGAAAGTAACTGTGATGTAATGTAGTTTTGGACCCAACTGACTTTCATTGTATGGGCAAAAACAGTTTAATAAACATTTTTCTGAATATCATCTTTTGGTTTGCAGCAACATAAGGGTGAGTATATGATTACTGTCTGATTACTCTGTTACTGTTTGTCTATATTTTAGGTGTACTCCAGATATGGATGTCCATCTCAATATACCCCAAGTGGATTTACTCCCCATGTAGCCTTGTCCTGAAGGCATTACCTTTTTGAGTCTTCCCTTGAGCTGCTATATATTACAGATGAAAATCAATGAAGCCACTTCATTAAATAATCTTACTCAGTCAAACAGTAGTACAGATAATTTTTATTTATTTGTCTTTGCATTCAGTTTGTTTTATGGGCTGTATCCTCTTTATTTTTCTAAAACCACAATATATTGCACTCTAGTGCAAGTACCATAATTTACTGATGTGGCTTTAGACATGCAACTGCATACTGCTTGTATTTTAGTGTTGCACAAACTATGTTAAATGACCATTTTTATTTACAGAATACCTCTTTATAAGTCAGACTTTTTAAATACCTATAATAGTCTAATTGTAGGTATACTAACATTCAGAATCCTTGCTGTATATATATACAGTATATATGTGTGTGTGTGTGTGTGTGTATACAGTATATACCCTAGATCAGGGTTCCTCAATAGGCGCCCGCGGGCTACATCCGGCCCGTGAGTGAAAAACGTTTGGCCCGCGCTAATTTCAAATAATGTGGCATGAATATTCAAACGCAGCATCAGAAAGCTACATTAACTTACATCGTGTCTACACCGGACGCGAGCGGCGCGGTGCGACGCAATAAAATACAATAGAACTCGTTATAATCAGTGATGCTGTCTTGGATGCAGCACAACACGACAAATCCCCGAGAGTAAACTGCTGACTCCTTCTATCTATAACCTACTGACCAGGGCTGCGTTTCTCGATAACGACTGATCTTAGCGCTTAAGAGCGTTTTCTACGAGTCATTTTATGATCGTTCGTTATTGTTTCACGTGCGTTTCCCAAAAATGCACTTAACACAATCGCACGTAGCTGTGCTTTAAGTGCTACTTAGGGGTCGCTATCCGTTTGTCAAGTGCTGAAATGTCACCTTATAGAATGGCTCGTAATTGTAGTATACGCTCGTTTATTGAAATGTTAACCTAATGCTGCGTTCCAGACAACTCGGATATAATAACTATAATACAATATTATATTATATTATATTTTACATAATATATATATATATATATTATAGTATATCATGTCTATACAGAGACGTTATTTCCGGGTCCAATACATTGCTGGTTTTCGTGCAAGTCAGCAAGTCATTGACAATGCATTATTCAATTCATTTAAAAACAACAACAACAACAAAAACGAGTAATAAAGTGTACAATAAAGTACAATCATATCCTTCTATTATAATCACATTGCACTTTAATAAAGTTATAGGTGTAATCTGCCGATTGTCCTGCAGGTTACCGCATAAATCTGTCACTTAGGGCTTTACGATTACTCCAGAGCACTCATAGATCTACGATGATTTTCAAGTGCTACTTAAGTTACGATGCTTTTGGGAAACAGACCGTAATATTAAGATCAGTCGTACGATCGTTTTTACGAACTTCTTAGGCTTGCGAAGCTTTTGGGAATCTCAGCCCTGGGGCGTAGGTATAGGCTTAGAGCTCGGCCACAATTCTGCGCGCGAAAGATCTTATTTTGAGCGCACAACAGAGCATTTTGCACGCGCGCGATATATAGGCCTATATAAATGTTGTGACTGACGCCGGCGATTATCTGCACCTGTTTCTAATTTAAGTAACGAATTAACAAGTAATAAACAAAACAAAATAAACATTACATTTCTGAATAAAATTGTATAAACTTTAGTTATATCTAATTTCGCATTTTGAATTAATGTAGGCCTGTTACATTCTTCTGATTATTAGGCCTATTAATATTAAGTTACTTATTGCCCCGCAATATTTTCATAGCCCATCACCGCATAACTGACGCGCTGCGAGGATAATAGGCTAGCTTACTCCTCATTGAAAATGTTTTTAAAAAGGTCTTTCAAAACAGGTTTATTATACAATGAATTATAGGCCTATAATTAAAATTATCAACACTGCAATCATCAATAAAAAGCTTTATTTCAAGCACCGACTTTTTTCAAAAGAAAAAAACAACCTGTTTAACACGAAAACGTTTCTTCTCTCTTTAATATTAGTATTTGTATTTACTTATTTTTTTCCCGCTAGCCTATGTTCGGGCCACAAGAGAAATATTAAGGGAGTAAATGAAAACATTGAGATATACCGTTATCAGCATATGAAGGAGATTCGTCTCTCGTCGTTAATGCAGCGTCAGATGCCGAAAGCACCATCATTCACTTTCTAGTGAATCGAATATTTACCCCCCCCCCCCCCCAAAAAAAATCTAAGCATAAAAATATTAATACAAATTAATGACAATAATTGAATCTGCAATTAGGGAAAGTGGACAGAAGAGATCCAGTCTGGGAATGAGCAGGAACAGTTGATTTGCATGGCAGATATGGAGATCCAGATTTTTTGTTTGTTCATTTGTTTTTAATATTCAACAGGCAAAGTTCTTCTGTATCTAAATGCAAAAATTTTCATAATTGTTTGAATAAAACAGACTACTGGGGAAAAAATCTGAATATTCATCTTGTGACCATCTTGTGATTATTTTAACAAAAGCAACAATAATATAATAATAACAATTTATATATATACATATATATAGGTCAGTAGCCCTTGGCTTGGTATTGTTGGCAGAATTCGGCCCTCGGCGAAAACTAATCGAGGAACCCTGCCCTAGATTATAAAATTATTCACAGTATACTGTTTTCAAAGCAGAAGAACATAATGTTGAAGTTTGGTTCCAGTCAGCAAGCAAATGTTATTGCAGTTAATGACACTTTAAAGTGTCAATCTTCAAAGTATGTAAGTGCTTCATTTTATAACTATGACTCCATTTATCTTGCAAATGGAGCATTTCTAAGCCAACTGCTTTTTTAAACCTTGAAACGGTAGTTTTGTGACATTGATGTAATTGTCCAAAGTGTGGGAACAAGGCTTGCTCTGTAAACATTTATGGATTTCAGCACCCCAGTGTACGGGCGACTGGTTTGATTACTTTTGCTGTTTCAGTTGGAAAAGATTCAGCTGAGCCTCAGAGAATTAAAAATTCCTGGTAAAAACAACAACAACTGCGAGATCTAAGCAGGGGATAAACCTTTTTTTCCTCTATTTCACGGGATTCAGAGTCCTTTTTTTCCATGTGTGTCCAGTGCTGGAATGCTTTCCAATAAATAACACTTATTTTAGAAACAAAAATTCTAAATAGATGCTATAAAATTGCAACATTCATTATCCGATTGCATAAGCACACACAGCTGTGGATGTTTGTCTCTAAAGAAAAATAAATGCAATGTGTGAGGTTTCACTTTGCATGACTTCACAGAGGTGATGCGTTTTACATCAAAGCAACAGGACTAATGAGAACCTTCTGATAGCATGATATCTCAGCTCAGCTTTAAGCAGGAAATGACAGAACATCGACGTCATGGAGATGGAGTAGGACGGTGCTAAAAAGACTTTATAACATTTCGTGGCCCTGGATGATGTTGAAAGACGCTCAGCGAGGACCCACGAGACTTACAGTTGAGGGCCCGTTTGTTGCGCTGTGTTTATGGATCATGTGAGTAATATAAACAGAAGGCACGTTTCTCCGCGCGCTCTGAGCTCGAGCTGAGTTGGCAACAGGACCCCACCTGTGTTTAATCACAAAGACACGATACTGTACATGCAACTTCACACCGATCCAGCTCTGAGGGCTGACGCTCAAAGTCTACAAGTGGAAGCATGAACTGAGAAGTCGCGCTTTGGACTCCTAAAACTTGCTTGCCATGAGATAAAGGTGAGTGAAAGGTCATAGATGTGAACTCGCCGAGGTTTTTCCGAGCGCGCGGTGCGGGTGAGATGAGACTGTGACAGACAGCGCGAGAGATTGAGAGAAATGCTTCATTACGCTCTTAAATTTTTAAAAGCGTTGTGGAACCCGCGGGGCTGTTGCCATGACTGCAGCGGTGTAGGTTTCCCTGCAGCCGGTGCGTCAAACTCCACTGCGCGCAAACTGATTGATTCGTTACCAGTAGCTTTAAACTTCATTCTGCCTCTCAATGCACCGGTATGCTTTTAAACATTAATTTACGGACATGATTGTGAGTACGCTTCACTTTCTAAAGATGTTTTTGCTGGACTATGTCTGATTTGTTAAGCTGTTGTGTTTATTAATGCATGAAATAGCCTATGCTAAAATGTATAAATATGCAGAGGACTCCGGGGCTAGTTGTCACAAGGATCTTGGCAACTATATAATGTTTAGAGTCAGAAGTCCAAACAGACAAATGCTTGATTTTAGCTTTGTTCACCTAATTAGAATACGAAAACTAAACTTAAAAGCTAAACTTAAATGTTGTTCTTAGAATGGGGCAAGTTGTCACAATTTTTATTTATGTCATACATGCATACAGTTGACAACGTTTAGTTTGATATTTTTTAAATGTATTTTACAAATATTTTTTTCAAGATTATATAAAATGTTATAGCTTTTATTAAAATGTAATAACTATTTTACCAAGTATTTTAAGTAACATTTAAGTTGCATTTTAAGATATGAATATTTGGTGTATTTTTTTAAGTCAGTGTATAGGCATACTAAAGTTGACTTTAAAAAAGAAATCAGTTGTTCACTGGAATAAAAAGTGTCACAACTAGCCCCGATCTCTTAAATGCTACCAGTTAAAAGTTTGCTCACACTTGATTTTATTTTTCTAATAATTTCAATGTCCAATGCTTAAAATTATTGTAGACACATATAAGTTGTGCATAAGTACTTTACAAAATTTGTAACGAAATGAACATTTTATTTAATTTTTTTATTTATTTTAACTGGATGAGATCAGATAATAAAGGAGAAACAGTCAACAAGTGACTCTTTAAAAATATATTTTTTTCTTTTTTTTGGCATATGATTTATATGCAGTGAATCTGCTTGTTTTCCTATCATAATAAAGTCACTTTTGTTCAGGCATACCTATGTTTATAAGATGACACTCAACACACAGAAAGAGGGAAAGGAACCACTGAGGAGAAGAGCAAGTACTCCCATCCCCTCCTCTCGTCAAGTGGGCAAGGGAGAAAGAGGCCCCTCCGCTGACCCGTATCACCCTCCACTCGCCCAGTCAGCCTCGTACCACCCTGGAGACAAGAGCATCCACTCACGGGCCAACTGGTCTTCAGACTCCGAGTCGGACAGCTCTGAAGCTGAGTGTCTTTA